CAGATGTGAGGCAATGTTCAAGTAGTATTGCATATTCTTGAGGTATGTTATTTTCTTCTAGCTTCCTAGTTACAATTGAGATGCAGTCCACAATAGGTAGGCATGTAAATAGTGACTGAACATCAAAACTGACCATAGTTTCATTGTTAGCGAGATGTAGGTCTTTTATCTCACTCACAAAATGGTATGAATCCTTTGTGTGTGCTCTGGTATGTCCTCTTAGTGGTGATAGTATTTTTGCTAAGTATTGTGCCAGCTTATAGGTTGGTGAATCGATCTGGCTCACTATGGGACGTAGTGGAGCGTTTGGTTTGTGTATCTTCGGTAACCCATACAACCTCGGTGGTTTGGCACATGATGGTATTAGCGAATTTACGTCGAGATTTAATTTTTTGGAGTATTTCTTTATTAAATCGCTAGTTGTTTTAAGCGTGTTAGTTGTAGGGTCTGTTTTGACCTTTTTATATGTACTTTCGTCCGATAAAAGTTGTTGTATTTTAAAATTATATTCCGACGCGTCCATTACTACCGTAGCATTTCCTTTATCCGCGCGGAGAATCGTGAGTTCTGGTCTGTTCCGTAAGTTATTTAGCGCTGTAAATTCGTCTTTGGGAGGGTTTGGTTTCGGCACTGAACTACGACGTAACAAGGACGAAATATCTTGACGTATGGCCTCCAAATCTTCCTTACCGATATTATTCTTAAACAGACAATCCTCAACACTGCAGATAATTTCTTCGTATGGGATTTTTCGCGGAGTTAATGCGAAGTTCATTCCATTCGCTAATACTTTCATTGTCGGTTCGTCCAGTGTATGTTTTGACAAATTATAGACAGTGCGTTGTTTATAGTTTGTGTCTATGGTCAACGGTTGTTTATTGTTCTGGCGTTGACTTGGATGTTTGGCATTTGATTTGATCGTTAATTTTTGGTATTTTTCTATTTATTTATTTTTGCATTTTTTTGCATTTTTGCATTGACCATAGACACAAACTATAAACAACGCACTGTCTATAATTTGTCAAAACATACACTGGACGAACCGACAATGAAAGTATTAGCGAAGGGAATGAACTTCGCATTAACTCCGCGAAAAATCCCGTACGAAGAAATTATCTGCAGTGTTGAGGATTGTCTGTTTAAGAATAATATCGGTAAGGAAGATTTGGAGGCCATACGTCAAGATATTTCGTCCTTGTTACGTCGTAGTTCAGTGCCGAAACCAAACCTTCCCAAAGACGAATTTACAGCGCTAAATAACTTACGGAACAGACCAGAACTCACGATTCTCCGCGCGGATAAAGGAAATGCTACGGTAGTAATGGACGCGTCGGAATATAATTTTAAAATACAACAACTTTTATCGGACGAAAGTACATATAAAAAGGTCAAAACAGACCCTACAACTAACACGCTTAAAACAACTAGCGATTTAATAAAGAAATACTCCAAAAAATTAAATCTCGACGTGAATTCGCTAATACCATCATGTGCCAAACCACCGAGGTTGTATGGGTTACCGAAGATACACAAACCAAACGCTCCACTACGTCCCATAGTGAGCCAGATCGATTCACCAACCTATAAGCTGGCACAATACTTAGCAAAAATACTATCACCACTAAGAGGACATACCAGAGCACACACAAAGGATTCATACCATTTTGTGAGTGAGATAAAAGACCTACATCTCGCTAACAATGAAACTATGGTCAGTTTTGATGTTCAGTCACTATTTACATGCCTACCTATTGTGGACTGCATCTCAATTGTAACTAGGAAGCTAGAAGAAAATAACATGCCTCAAGAATATGCAATACTACTTGAACATTACCTCACATCTGGCTATCTATTGTGGAAGGAGGAGTTCTACAAGCAAGTAGATGGTGTGGCGATGGGCTCACCTGTGTCTCCCATAGTCGCCGACATATTAATGGAGGAATGTGAGGAGAAAGCCCTTCTTACTGCTCCTGTAAATCCAAGGTTCTACAAGCGGTACGTAGACGACACTTTCACAATTTTACCATCTGAAAAAGTAACTGTATTTTTAGACCACCTTAACTCCATAAACTCGAAAATACAATTCACAATGGAGTTAGAGGCAAATAATTCTTTAGCTTTCCTAGATGTTTTAGTCATCCGAAAGCCTGATAACACTATTGGTCACACTGTGTATAGGAAAAAGACCCATACCAACCGATATTTAAATGGTGAATCTCACCATCATCTTTCACAGTTAGCTACCGTGGGTAAATCTTTGTTTCAGAGAGCACGAGGGATCTGTGACAGAAAACATCTGGCCGCGGAGCTTCAGCACGTCAAGCAAGTATTGCAAGACAACAAGCTTCGGGTCCCGCTCCTACATCACAGTGAACGAGTGAAGCCAGCCACAGTCGAGCGCGCGCCTGCTCTACTACCATATGTTAGAGGAGTCACAGACAAGATTGGCTACATCTTGAAGCAAGCGTCCATTAAGACATACTACAAGCCGCTGAAGAAGATTAGTCAATTTTTACCATCCATCAAATGTAATATTCCTCTACAAGATGCAGGTGTGTACAAGCTAGATTGTGAATGTGGTCTCTCTTACATAGGTCAAACAAAGAGATCTATAAAAACCCTCGTGAAGGAACATATAGCTGATGTGAAGCACCGACGCTCCGGGAAGTCTGCAGTCTGCGAACATGTTCAAGATCGTCCCCACTATTACATTAGATTTGATAAACCACAAATTCTCGCAAAAGAACACCGATTCCTACCAAGGATGATACGCGAGGCTATTGAAATTAAAAAAAAATCCAAATTTCAATAGAGAAGATGGTTGGGTGCTACCATCTGCTTGGGATCCTATAATTAACAAAATTAAACCCAAACCCAAGCATACCACTGCAAGACTTCATGATACTATAAGCTCGTTTTGCGTAAATCGGACCAAAAATTAATATTTAAAAAACTGAAGGTAGCCGGACTAACTATGACATTGGGACGTCAAACATCTCAGTCCCCCCCGTGACCATGGGCGCTGTAAAGCACCCGAAACGTCGGGATAATAATAAAAATAAATTAAAGTAATTAAACGCGATAAAATCCGTAAATAATAGTTTTATTCAATTCATGCCATGCTGACGTTCTGTTGCGACGTGAAAGAAGGACAAACTTTTGCAACATATTATATTTTCCCACGGGAATGAGATGTTTTTCCGCGGAAAAAAGTAACCTATGTCACTCTACAGCCACCGAACTATCCCCATACAAAAAATCATGCCATGCCGACGCTCTGTTGCAAAGTGAAAGAAGGACAAACTTTTGCAACATATTCTATTTTCCCACGGGAATGATATGTTTTTCCGCTGAAGAAAGTAACCTATGTCACTCTACAGCCACCGAACTATCCCCATACAAAAAATCATGCCATGCCGACGCTCTGTTGCAAGGTGAAAGAAGGACAAACTTTTGCAACATATTATATTTTCCCATGGGAATGATATGTTTTTCCGCTGAAAAAAGTAACCTATGTCACTCTACAGCCACCGAACTATCCCCATACAAAAAATCATGCCATGCCGACGTTCTGTTGCAAGGTGAAAGAAGGACAAAATTTTTCAAAATATTATATTTTCCCACGGGAATGATATGTTTTTCCGCTGAAAAAAGTAACCTATGTCACTCTACAGCCACCGAACTATCCCCATACAAAAAATCATGCCATGCCGACGTTCTGTTGCGACATTAAAGAAGGACAAACAAACAAACACACTTTCGCATTTATAATATTAGTATGGATAACTCACTAGGTAAGTCATTACTAGAATATTTAATAGAGATATGGGGAAGTGCATCTAAAACTAATATAAAGGATCTTCAAATAACCCAGAACAAATTAATAATAGTTTTATTCCAACTTAACTACCGCTTTCCTACTAAAGAGCTCTATAAAATAACTGATACATTATCCATAAGTCAATTATACAAATACAAAACGTGTATACTAGTCAGAAAAAATCTCTTGGATTCCATACACACCCAAATTAGTTTTAAATCGAAATCACATAAACACTGTACACGAAACAAACATAAAGTGTATTTACCAAAAGCTAGGACTAAAACTTATGGTTCGAAAACTATTCAGTTTGAGGGAGCGCTATTGTACTACCGAATGAGGTATTTCATGAAAAATCATATTCAAAATTTAAAGATAAATTAAAAAAAGCACTGTCAAACATTAATTTAAAGACAGTGCTTTTTTAATCCTAATTTCGATATATTTACGTAACTTTATTCATATAAGTCACCGTATTTAAATGTATTATTTTTACCAATTATGTTATTTTTAAGTCTCATATGAGTGAATATTTGTTCTTTTTTGAGATAATAAACTCCTTAAACCTGAACCTGTTTACAGTTCAGAGTCAAATTAATTTTTTTTTCATTTAAAATTATTCAAATAACAATCATTTACACTACTTACTTTTACTTTTATCGTGACGTCATTTACAGCTATTCTCCTACAATTATTTATATATTTTTTCTGACAGCTCTTATAAAACCTTTTCAAATTATTAAATGTTAACTAGTCCTCAAAGGTGACAATGCATCTTTATTTATTTAAAAACTTCCTTATTTAAAGATGGTTGAAGGTGTCCATGGAGTACACCAGCCAGTTACCAGCAGGCGAAGAGTAAGTTTGTCACATCAGCTACCTTATCAGCATATAATAAAATTTAACGTTTTTCGGTACAAAATTTATCAAACTATTAATATTTCTTTGTAGTACCTAATTTTTTTGTATTAATTTAATTTTTTTTTAAATTGTGTATTGTATATTTGGCTATATGTAAAGGCTTGTAGGAAATGCTGTGAGCACTAAGCATGCGGTGTTACCTATTATTGAATGTGCACTTTGTTCAAATCACTCTCTTAGAATGAAGCATATGTTTTAGTGCAACATTTGTTGGTGAACCAAATAAATAAATAAACAATAAATAAATATAAACACTCACGCGTCAGCTCAGCGATGCAAAGAACAGGAAAGCGATGGTCCCTCTGTTGTTCGAGCGGCGAGCGCCAGTGGAGGTCAGAAACGTGCACTCGCCACCCACTTTTCCTTGCCCGTATCCTTAACTTCGCTGCCACATTGCATTGTAGAATACCTTTTTCTGCACAACAATCTGGAAAATTAAACCTTCATATAACATGCCGTTAGATAAATGGACAAAGGGGGCGGATGAGCGTATATCGGCTCGACCCGGGGAGGTGGAAAGGATTACGCTTAAACTTTTTTTACGTGGTAGAGCCATGCTGCAGTTATACACAATACAATACAATACAATACCCTTTATTGAACACTAAAAAAATACAACATAACAAGAAACAAACAAAGAGAAAAACAAAAGGCGGTCTTATTGCTATGCAGCAATTTCTTCCAGACAACCTAAATAGGAAATAAAAATAAGTGAAAAGTTAAGTAATGGGTAGAGTGCACTATAAATAATATTGTAATCTATAAATATAAAAGAAATTTAATAAACATGCCGGAATTTACTTAATTGACAGACTAGTGATCATAAAACGACAGGAATAGATAAAAGGAGGAGGTATGATTTAGAAGGAAAGATAATGTTTTTTAACTTGGTTTTCAAAGGAGTCTATTGTTTGAGCACGTTTTTTAGTTGATGGTAAGGAATTCCAAAGCTTAACTCCAAGGACTGAAAAAGATTTACTGTAAAATGTAGAAGAGTGCAAGGGACATAGAAGGGAAAGATTTTCTAAGGATCAAAGGGAAAGTTTGTGAGAGGAGCTGAGAAATTGGAAACGTTCTTTAAGGTAGGGAGGACTTGATATTGTTACGCGCTCAAGTCGACGGCACTAGCGCCATCTAGTCTCAAACCGAAGAACTAAGTTTCTAGAAAATCTACACTCGAACACTGTTCGCTTTGCGCGCATTTACTTGAATATTCCGGATGCTTCATTGCTAATTTGTATATATAGGCGCTGCAATACGCGATCGGGGCAGTATTGGATTTGGCGAGACAAGCGAAGCTTCGGAGCGGAATAAAGTGAATTAGTGTGTTTAATTATTAGTGTTTTAAGTTTTAATTTGTGTAAAGTAAATTAAAGTGTTAATTTAGGTAATTTTATCGGCAATTTTTATTGTCACGAACCTCAAGCTCGTAACAATTGGTGTCAGAAGTGGGATAAAATCATGCCGATTTTACCAAAGGAGGAATCGGAGGGTGTCCGTACCCGAAGTCAACGCCAGCAGGAGACGGACCAGAGGAGATTTGGTGGTGCAACGCCAACAAAATTTAAATTTACAAAAGTTTTTAACCTAACCTAACGCGCTAAAACATACAATATGAGGAACGTTTTTTTAACTATAATCTATAAGCATACATATTTTTGAATTTTTATATCCCTCAATTTGTTTATTTTCTTTATAATTTTTTATTTTATTTTGTTATACTATTTTTAATTGATGTATCTTCAAATATTAAAATTTTAAGTACCTAATGGTGTTTGTGGCGTGTTGCAGTAAATGTTTGTGTTATACATATTTTGTACAATTTTATTGGATCATGTGAAATAGTTTTTATTGATCATAGTATACGTTTACAATGAAAGCTCATTATAATCCTGTAATTATATTTACAGGATGTGAGGGATTTCAATTTAGCCCTCAGGAATATGGCAAATCTTTTGAAGTATTTAGTTTGCAGTGGTTTGCGTGTGTTCACAAGATTAGATACTATCGGGTTGACTGTTAGTTTCCTTGTAAATTTCATGACGAACTCATTGTTACTTGAAAGTTATTAAGTTTTCAATATTCATAGAAATGTCGGTTATTAAACCCCAACTCATAGTGAGTTGGGTTTTAATTTACATTAACGTTTTGGTCAAACATTATATTAAAGCGTAAATATCGAAAATTGAAGTACCTTTTTAGTAAACATTTATATAAAATAAATGGAATAAAACGTGTCGGAAGGTACAACACGATGAGGCAATTGTGTGGGCAATAACAGGATAGCGTTAATTATTAAAAATGGTAAAAGAGTGAGAACTGATGTTCAACTTGCTCTCTTGCTTGCGCAATTTATCATTATCAATAATAGAACAGCGTAACGCGCTATACATTCAGCATAGAGTAATTACAGTTTGACCATACCGCAGTATGCCTCCATCACAATTACACACCAGTGCAATGTGAAGGACACAACTACATGATAACACCAAATTATGCAAACCAACAGCAACCTTACCCATCTCAACGTAACACAGCACAACCTCTCAGCAACACCATCCTCCTTGTCTGCACCAGAAGAATCACCACGATGGACAGAACAACGACTATCTTAGCACGCGTAGACCGACTTCACTCGTGAAACGACTCAAACGGAATCCCACGCGCTCTGCCCGTACACTGAACTTTATACTGCACAAACGAGTGGGAGGGTTTTTCGATATACCCTCAATTTCAACTAGTCACTAGATTCAACCAGCATTTTATGAATGCGCTTACAAACTTAATATTATTTCGAAGGTACTGTACCATAGTGCTATAAAAAATCATGTGTTTATATTACCATGAAGGTAAGATAATACAAAATGAACAAATGACACATGATCTTCCTATACAAAACGATTTAAACAATTAATCGATCAGATTTTGACCAGACGTGATACTAGTATAAACAAATTGTATGCACGTCTTGTTAACGGGAGTGAAAGAGATGTTTTGTAAGAAATTACAAGCAAACTTTCTGTTTTAAATTGGTTTCTAACTTGACTAACTTCCACTTGCTTGCTTTTATAGCTGATATTAAAATTACTTTCGTAAAAAAGCGCAAATAAATCCGAAGCATACCTAAGTTTTACAAAAGTTTGCAAACAAAAACATAAGTTAATAAAACTGTGAAAAATTTTCTTGCGGAGCCTTCAGCGAAGCGAAATAATATTAGATTTATAAAGGTAAGAGCTGATTTTTCAATCATCAGATAAAAGTTATTTATAAGGTAAAATGCAACATAGACAAGTATAATAACTACAGTTGTATTGGATAAAATAGTTCATTGTTTCACTTGCAAATATATGAAATTGGCGTTTTGTCTAACTGGCCACTTTGATCTCAAATTTCTGGCGTACAAATTCATATTTGTTTTAAATGTAAGTAGGCTTATTTATTCGTTTTTCGTATTTAATGATTCATTAGTTTTCGCGCCATTTTATTTTTCTTTGACATCGTTCTGTTCACAATATGGAAAAGTTCACTTATTATCACTTCACTTATATATACTTCAATATCACGTTATTTACAAATACGAGGTCCACAGTGACACCAGCGCTGCAGAAAAAGTTCAAAAGATTATTAAGTGTATGGGGAAGCTACTGAAAAGAAAAGACAGTAGATATTTTTGATTGCAACGTTTTCGTTCTGGAAATTTTGACCTACAGAACAAACCCCATGGACGACCGGAGACCCTAGTTGACAATGAAGAATCAAAAGTGATCATGGAAGCAGATCCATCCAAAAAAGCAGGTAAAAGTTAGCGGCACGTTTCGGTGTGAGTGATAAAATAATTTCAATTCACTTGAAACAAATCGAAAGAGCGAAAAATGGGTCATATTACTCAACCGTCACAAGAACGTCATCCACTGCGGTTTCCTAAGATCTGGCCTAACGATTATGGCATATATATATATATATATAGTAGTATATCTGTATAGACTGCCTCGCTGGTCTAGTAGTTATAGTAGTGCGACTGCAGATCATGAGGTCCCAAGTTCAAATCCTGGGTCGGGTCAAAAAAATTAGTTATAGAGTTTTTTCATTAACTCCCAGGCTCTGACAGCGCGCGACATGTTATACTCCCGTTCGCTCGGGACCTTAATGGCGGGAAAATTTGTAAGTTAGAAAATTTTTTGCTATATTGCAAATTTTGCTATATTTTCACTTTGAGACAATATTTATGGATAAAACTTACAGGATTTCTTGTTGAATGTATAAACTATCGAATAAAATTATTTTTGGTTGCTAGAAATTGTAATAAAATACATAAATTACCCTGTATAGCATAGTAGTAGCATATACTTCAATTTTAGTGACAAAATTACTACTAATTTGAATTCTACACTTTTGTTTTTGGAGAAATTTATATGAAAATGTTTGAAAATATGTATATTTTTATGTTTTATATCTTTCCATTCGTTACTCATACCAAAATATTAAAATATTAAAAAATTAAAAAAAAAAAACAATAATAATATTTTATCTGTGTGACATTTAGAACAATATTTCAAAAATAATTATGTGTGAATTTGAAATAAATACAACGTCAAGTTATTTGAAATATGTAAGAAAACTATTTTTTCTTACATTTTACACTAAAAATAAATGAGAATTTGAAAAATAACACATTTATGACCCAACCGCCAAAATGGGTCTTCCAGATTTTGAAGTACTTTTGGCAATTTACTTTTCACTTTTTATACCACAAATTATATATCTACGTGTTCACTATATTACAAGGAATATAAAAAAGTATAATACTTTCGTTTTTAGTCCAGACACAAATATAAAATTCTATAAAAAAGACGGAGCACCTTCATCAAAACGACACGTGGAACGCCGAAAGTTCAGAGTGATTTCTTTTTTTTTTTCTAAGAAACATTGCCAGGTTATGGTTTAAAATAAAAGAGCATATCTTTTTCTTTGATACTATTATCTATTGCATATTGTCTTTGGTTTTGTTTTAAAGGAAAAAATAGTTTTTTCATAAGGCAGTACTTCTGATCCGACCTGATCTAATTCGACCCGTACCAGAGCCGACGTAAGGTAGGTATTGTATGATCTGATTAGATCGGTAGCCGAGTCAATGGGAGAAATTCTCAGTAACTGCTCGGAGTCAGGAAGTTGGCAATGTCTCACCCCCGTGCCTTGGAAAGTACGTAAAGCCGTCAGTCCTGCGCCTGATCTTTCTCCGGTCGTGTCGGTTTACCGTGCCATCAGTCAGAGTGAGGGAATAAAGAGTGCACCTGTGCTTGCGCATACACTTGGACACTATAGTACTCTCCGTCGGCATTGGCTAATCTCTGTTGAGTCTGGCCGCCGTGACTGAAATTTGGTCTGGAGGACAGTATCTGTACAGTCAACAATTGCCAAACCATGATGGAAAAGCTAGCCGTGAGACTGGTCAACTGCTCTACCCCACTGCTGCTTCAGGCCAACACTAGACCGCATACTGCACAACAGGCGGTTGTTAAATTAGAGGAGCTACGATTGGAATATCTCCGACAGCCAGAGAGAGGATCCAGGTGTACATAGATCCCAAAAGGTTTTCCTATAGTTGAAACATGTTTTATGAGGTGCCGAGGTAGTTGAGTCTGGGCGGTCGTTGCAAACTATATTGTTCCCTTAATTTTTTTCATATTTATGTTTTTGGTGTATTATAAAACATTGCCTAATATATACCTAAACTAATTTACACACGATTGGAAGTACTTTTATCTCATCCATCAATATAATATTTTTTAAAATTATATAATCTTAATATATATAAATTACGTGTCACGTTGTTGTCCGCGATGGATTCCTAAACTACTTAACCGATTTTAATCAAATATGCACACCGTGCGCAGTTTGGTCCAACTTGAGAGATAGGATACTTTTTTGCCCATGAGTGACCCACAATTTTTTTTTTTGCGAATTTAAGGATTTTTAATAAGACATTAATAAGGGTCGTCGAAAGGGACAGAACAACGTCTGCCTGGCAAGCTAGTTATTGTATATATTATAATAGATAATATATACAACTATGGCTATGAAAGTGGATGGATATAAGAATAAAGAGAGGCCTGAACTGTGTCAGGAATGATACGCGTAAGAAGGGAATTAGTGACGATATGACGGCTTATTTTAGAGGGTAAGGAAAGAGAAAGATATGCTATGCCGAACCCAAATAACTTAGGATAAACAGGAAGAAGAAGAATATACCACTAATAGGTTTCTAAGATACACAGCTCTAAGGATTTGTATTAAATTTTGTATTTACGAGTACATTATGCTGCAGTTATATTAGTAGTATAGTTGTAGCACGAATGGGTCGGCTCGACCGGAGAAGAACCACGCTCTCACAGAAGACCAGCGTAAAATAGTAGCTTAATGCTGCTGTGTTTCGTATGGTGAGTGTAGAGAACCGGAGACCCTTTTTACTAGAAACGAGGCATTCCATCTTAGTCCTCACGGGTGACAACGCATCTGCATTTTGATTTGTAATCGAGGATAGATGTAGATGTCTATGGGCCACAGCAACCACTTACCATGTCATTTGTCACCATATCCTATAAAAAAACTGTTTCACTTTCAAAGTTTATTTAGCCAGTTGTGATCCTTGAGAAAATAATATATCTTTTTTTAACATCGAGTGGCACTCGGTCGACCAGGCACTTATACAAATAACATATAAGTACAGGTAAAAGGTCTTTACCTCATATTTATAGCACAAACAGGTTAATGTTCTTTCCCGGCATTTACTTTAGTTCTTTTGACATACATGCAATGAGACTCTGAGAAATACCAGGTGTAACCTTAATAATATTATCATTTACGATATGTCGATTTTTGCACTCAGACAAACTGTAAGGAGCTACATAGATCGACAAACTTCGATATATGCGTGTTTGCTTACCCTGTGAATCAGCTGCGCATACGTAAATGAGCATAGCCCGGCGTCTTCTTGTTCTGGTGGGTGGAATCCTTCCTAGCAGGTAGTTTCGAAGCTCCTCGTGCAGCGCTGCGACGTTAGGTGGAACAGGAGGACCCACCACCTCCTCGCGAGGGGAGGCGCATGCCACCGGAGACGACAGCGAGATGGAATCTAAGAAAAGGTAAAATGGGCTTTTATTATAAGCGTAGAAATATATATATATATATATATATATATATATATATATATATATATATATATATATATTTGGCGACATACCTGTCTTTTATTCAGTTAAGGGGGTTACGATTTCACAACAATATGTGATGAATAACCATTTATAAATTTTGTCTGCTTGTCTGTATGTTTAGGGGGTTTTCTTCTAAATGGCTAAAGCACTTGTGATGAAACTTATAGCAGGAACGATATAGCGTTAAGTTAAATCTAAATGATGACATAAGTTACATTCATAGATACCACCCAGGCGACGTCGGGGCGGGACGCTAGGTTCCCATACAACAGGAATTTCCAAAGTATGCACGTTTGAGAGGTGTGTTCATAATCATCATCACCATTACAGCTCTTTACAAGTCCATTGCTGAACATAGGCCTCCCCCAAGGAATGCCACAAATCACGGTCTTGAGCAACCTGCATCCATCGACTTATATAGCCGTATAGCTCTAAGAACCGACAACCATAAGGAAAGAAGAGTTCTAGAGTGGCGTCTTACCAACAGGTGAAGTGTGGGACATCCCCCTACTAAATGGAGTAACGACCTGGTTCATAATAAACGCCAACAATTGGCCCTGTCATCAAAGCACGTATTCCGCCATCTTCTATAAGAGTTAACCATTTTTCATTTCTTTGTCTGATTTTTGTTAAAATGGTTGTATTTAGAGCTTACTACAGAATGTAGTTGGTTCAGCAGTGGATTTTTATGCTGCGGCTGTTATGGGTGGACAATATAACGATATATTGTTTGCGTGTACCGGTTTGATTGCCTCGTGGTTCTAATGGCAGTAAGCGCGATCATGTGGTCCCGACTTCGAATCCCGCGTCGCGCAATAATCAGCAGCAATAAATACCCCTTAGCAGAACGAAGCCAGGTGTTTCACCCCCTTGGCTCAGATAGCACGTAAAGCCATTGGTCCTGCGCCTGATCTAGCTCCGGTTGTGTCGAATTGCCGTCCCGTCAGGCTATCAGTGCTAGACAATAAAGAGAACGTATGTGCTGTCCTGCATAGATGGCTGGTCTCCGACCGAAATTAGGTTTGGAGGAGATTTTATATTCTATTGCAATTGTGTAATTGTTGTTGTCTATTGCAAACGTGTTCCGGAACGGAATGAATCACTATTATTACTATTATGGTCTCCCGAATATTGGCGAACACGTCTTGACCCTGACATGTTTTTGCGGGGAAAACGTAACCTTATGACAAATACACAAGATGGAAAGAGATAGATAATAGATTCTCAACTCCACAGTCGCTTTTAAGGTAAATGACCTTTCGTATCGCTGCTAGTTGGTCGTACAATACAAAACTACAAATATACGTAAATATTTGTAGTTTTGTATTGTAGTTCCTTTTATATTACTATTCTCTATTTATATGACTATAGTTTTGTATTTGCATATTGTACATAATTTTTATTTTTGTATTTGTTTGGGTTGTTAATAAGTAGGACACTAAATAAGTTTTGAGATATACAAAAAGTATTCTAAATACTATTAATATTTATTTTATACCTTTTCAAAATATTCTCCATCATGCTCTATACAGAGTTCCATTCGCCTAAACCAACTCTGAAAACACTTTTGCCGGTCTTCATCTGACAGGTCGGTAATCGCGTCTTCGTAGGCAGCCACGGCTTCTTTGGCGCTTGAAAAAACTTGCCTTTTATCTTTTCTTTGACTCTTGGGACAAAAAGAAATCACAAGGACATCAGGACATCACGGCTGTAGGGTGGGTAACTTAGAGTTTCAACACCAGATTCCGCAATAAATGCTTTTGTTCTAAGGGAGGTATGTAAAGAGGCGCTATCGTGATGCAGTATGATTCCCCGAAGCCCGGTCATTGGCCTTCTCTCCCGCACAGCTTGAAAAGCTTTGAGTAATGCAACTGTAGTATATAATTCAGAGTTGACTGACCTACAATTTTTCAGCATTGACGTCAACAAATGTCCGCTCCGTGAAAAAAAACTAGCCACCATTTTTTTTGCCAACGTTGCGAGGTCTTTGCAGTTTTGTCGGTAACTGTTCTTCTGAGTAGACTCATTCAGATGATTGCCTTTTATTTTCCGGATCCATGTCTCGTCACCACCGTCGTAATGGTTTCCGAAACACGCCTAGATGCACCGTTTTCAAAACGTAGTCGCATTTCATGGCACCAATCCACACGAGTCTGTTTTTCGCTTTCGGAGAGCAAACGAGGGATCCATCGACAACAAAGCTTCCTCACTCCAAGATGTTGATGTAGGATGGTATGAATGCTCCCCGAACTAATGCTTACAATCTTTTCGATGTCCGTATATGTGATTTGTGTGTCTTCTCGCACCAACATTTCAGTAGTCCATACATTTTCTGCAGTTACTGCTGTTTGCGGGGTCCTGGTTCTTAGGTCATCTTTAAAGTTAATTTTAACCCATTTTGCATTCAGAAAACTACCTAAATATTGTTGCGTGTGATAGAGCTGAGTCCTCTAATGCTGATTTAACCGTTGTAAACTTAATTGTTCGGTTAAACCAAATTTAAAATCGTAATAGATCATAGAGCGCAAATGTTCACGGTTAAGATCCATCGTTTTAAATAAAAAGCGCGACAAGCGTTGCAGGAATATGAATAGAACTTTGTTTTTTTTTAATATTGAGCAATTGGCTTATGGAGTTCTATTTTTAAATAAATTTGCTTTTTAGAAGCATATAACAAGGGTGCGGTCCATTTTTAAATTTCAAATATCTCAAAACTTATTGAATGACCTACGTATTAGATTACGGAATAAAAAATTTAATCAATAAAATTTTACCCGCCCAGAGACTACTCCAGAATGTTTACTACTGAAATGTAGTCCTTCTACCTAGTCAAGGACTTATTTTCTGCCTAGACGGAGTCCCGTCTGCGTAGAAAGTGGTGGAAGAGGGTGGTATCTTACCTATATCTGACACAAAATCGCAGAGCAGAACGCATATAGTGAGGTAGTATGATTGCAGGTTGTGAGGCATTCCATCTTAGTCCTCAGAGGGGACATGACATCTATAGCCTTCGTTTACAGTTAGTCCATGAACTGCAACAGCCACTTACAATCAGGTGGATTGTAAATTCGTATTTAGAGTCCACCTGATATTTCAATTTTCCAAAACAAAAACACAACACGATATAACGCTACTTTACGACGTACTCGTAATCTAGTATCGTTGGTCGTGGTGCTCGAGTCTTAAACAGTTTTTTCTCGCTTAACTTCTTACCTGATACACTGGAACAACCGGCGGGGCGTGGGCCTTTGAACTGGGGCTTCTTGTCTCGCAGCGTGGGCGCGGGCTCGAGTAACTCCTGTGTTGGGGGTTCCGCTTGCGTTTCTGTCTCGACTGCGGGCTTGCTCGTGCGGTACGACGGAGACCTGCGTGCGCAGCAGTTTGGTCTACGATATGTTATTATGCAATTTGAAGAGATAATATGAATTATATTATATATGGTCATTTGACCTTAGAACTGGATAAGTGGCTCGATTTGGAGACCCATGCTAAGCTTTGAACTGCTGCAGGCTAATGATGCTGCAGCTGATTGCCATATGGACGATAACAATTGCCGCCTTTCATCCTGTAGGTGTCGTAATGGTTGAGCCGTATTTTAAATACGCTTCTATTAGCAATTTATATATCCATCTATGTAACGGAATCTTTTAATATACTTTTCACCAACTTGTAGACGGCTGATTGAGTTGAAAGTTTGTATCATTGTTTTTTTTTAAATAGTATTAGGATAACAAACGAGCACATAGTCCAACTGATGGTAAGTGGATGCTGTGATCCATAGACATTTAACCTCGATTACGAATCAAAATGCAGATGCGTTGTCACCCAGTAAAAAGGGTCTCCGGTTCTCTACACTCACCATACGAAACACAACAGCATCAAGCTGCTATTTTACGTTGGTATTCTGTGAGAACGTGGTCCTTCTCTTGTCGAGCAAACCCTTTCATGCTACGTAACAACCATAATGTAGCTGAGCGTGGCTCTACCACGTATAAAAATTGTTTTGTTTTTGTGTCAAGAACAAATAACATTACAAAAATTTATCAACTTTATCCTAATATCTTGATCAGGATCATCAGGATAAAATAAAATAATTATTAGGATCATCACAGCTGATGATCAATGAGCGTTGTTTAAGTTTTTTTAAAACTCTTATGTAATTAATAGACGGTTTTAATTGAAATAAATCTTATGAAAACATAATAAGTACTATTATTTCAAAGATTTTTATCTATAAAATATATAATTTATATTTGTTACATAACAATAGAATACTAAAACGAAATAAATGGCCTACATAATGCAAACAGAGTTATTTGCATAAGGAATATTTTAAGTTTGGCGCTCACGTAGCCAGTTGCTACGTGTTGCTCGTAGTATCTGTCATACGGGCGTCATGTTACTGTTGTGATTAATTATTTTCTGATGTCCGTAAAATTATGTTGATACGTTGTTTAATGAGCGTTTTGTATGCTGAATAATAATTAATTAGCGTTTGCATTTACAAGCACAAATGTCGCCGTCGATTACAATCTGTGGGAAATATTGAGGCCGATATTCTGAGACGATGTCGTGCTTAAACAAGTTTGAACCTTAAACACATTCTTCATAATGCCGAAAGTTGAGTCTGGATTATATTTAATCAGATTTTCATGCCTCGTTAGTCTAGTGGTTATTAATGCGACTGTTGATTGTACGGTCCCGGGTTCTAAACCCTAAAATCAGTTATTGAATTTTCCTGTCAAGAAATTCTCAGTAACAGTCTGGAGTCAGGAAATTAGCGGTATTTCAATGAGAGTGATTTGTCGCCATTGGTTCTGCGCGTAATCTCTCTTTGTTCGAGTACAATTGCTGCCCCATGGGTCTATGGAGAATGAGGTAATAGACAGTACAGCTGTGCACTCGGACACCATATTCCTCTCCTACGTAGATGATTAGTTTCCGTTGAGACTGGCCGCCATGAACGAAATTCGGTCTTGAGAACTTCATATTATATTTAAAAATCAAACTTCTCAGGATTTCAGGCCAAGACCATATTTGACATTGTAAAGTTTTAGTTTAAACTCGAGATTGCCTCTTAATATGGTCTAAGTATGTAGCTTTTTTATATGATTGGGTGACAAACGAGCACACAGTCCATCTGATGGTAAGTGGTTGCTGTGGCCCATAGACATCTACATCTATCCTCAACTACGAATCAAAATGCTGATGCGTTGCCACCTTTGAGGGCTAAGATGGAATGCTTCGTCTCCAGAAAAATGGTCTTCGGTTCTCTACGCTCACCATTAGAAACACAGCAGTATTAAGCTAATATTTTACGCTGGTATTCTTTGAGAGCGTGGTCCTTCCCCAGTCGAGCCGACCCATACGTGCTACAACTACACTACCATTATAACTGCAGCATGGTTCTACGACGTTGTAATGTAAAATAAATAGTAATTATATTTTGTACGTGGTAGAGAGAATGGGTCGGCTCGATTAACGGAACACCAACGTGATTTTTTTATAGAAGAGGGGGCAAACGAGCATGCGGCTCACCTGATGTTAAGTGACTACCGCCGCTCAACCGCAACACCAGGGGAATTGCAGGTGCGTTGCCGGTCCTTTAGAAAGGAGTAAGCTCTTTTCTTGAAGGTCCCCAGGTCGTATCGGTCCGGAAAAATCGCCGGTGGTAAACTATTCCACAGAGAGGTTGTACGCGGAAGAAAAATCATTTTGAAACGTACAGTGGTGGACCGCCAAGCATCCAGATGGTGTGGATGGTATCGGGACGTTTGCCGCGTAGTGCGTTCCCGAAATTTGGCGGCTGGGATTAATCCGAACAATTCCTCAGAGCACTCTCCATGGCATATGCGAAAGAAAATGCAAAGAGATGCAACATCTCTTCGCAGTGCCAGTGAATCGAGCCGATCGGAAAGCACTCGGTCGTCGACGATTCGAGCCGCTCTGCGCTGGATGTGGTCAAGTGGAAGGAGCTGGTACTGGGGAGCCCCAGCCCAGAGATGAGAACAGTATTCCAGGTGCGGCCGAACCTGCGCCTTGTAAATTTGCAGGCGGTGTGCCAGCATGAAATACTGTCCCGCTCTGCTGAGCACGCCAAGCTTTTTGCACTGCACTGCACGTCACTCGATAAGTCGACGCCGATGATTCCAATACTGGCTGAGGCAACAAGGGGAGTGCCTTGAAACTGAGGAGATACGACAAAGGGGTTCTTTTTAGCAGTTAACGCGCAAACTTGTGTCTTCTGGGGGTTAAACTGGACTGGATTTAGTTGCCCCCAATCCGAGACTCTGTTCAGCAAAGACTCGACTTCAGACACAAGTTTGTCCCGGCACTCGGAGACGTTTTCCCGAGAAATATTGGCTCGGCCGGTGCAAAGAGCATTACCAGTGCCAATCACACAGGATTTTTCAGGAAGCCCATAGGAAGGGAGCTTCGAAAGAAGCGCTTTGGTGCCAAGCCCGATCGCCTTCGCAATGTCCAAACTAACGGCCAATGCCTCCCCCTTGGATTCTACTGCCTCCGCCCATCTGTGAGTTAGGTAGACCAGAAGATCATCAGCTGACCGACCACGGCGAAAACCGTATTGGCGGTCACTAATCAGCTGGTGATCCTCAAGGTACCTCATGAGCTGGCAGTTTACAATGGACTCCATTGTTTTGGAGAACAAGGAGGTGATGGCGATAGGCCGGTAGTTGGATGGGTCTGAGTGGTCGCCTTTTTTGATTTATCGGCATACAGATGTATTTCGTATGGTGAGTGAAGAAAATCGGAAACCCTTTTAACTGGCAATTAATACCACGTATAATTGATTGAGCTGTATTGATTGTATAAATTATGGTATAAATAAACGAAAACGGTGACAAAGTGAGTTTTTCTGGAGGTTTCTTCGCTTTCGGACTTCGATTTTTGTTAATTTTATTTTTTAATTTCTTTCTGTTTTCCTTCACCGATGGACATGTGCTAAATCAGCATTTAATACTCGTATAACACCCCTCTGCAATTAAATTGATTTCGTACTTTGGTTCTGTTCTCGGATATCCATCGTAGCCCTATTGTACAAACACTTCAGCAATTCTATACACCGACAGTCAACTTGGCACCCTTGAAGGGGCTGTAGAAGCGTCCAAATTTTGATGGAATCAAAGTATTTCTTATTGCCTACAAACGCAAGACAAAGTGGCTGGTTGTACTTTTCGGTCTATATACAATTTACCCAAGGGTATGTATGTGGAAATCGTGTTATCCGAACTCGTATTTTTCGTGTGCTATGAAATTTATAGCGAGCATTTATTGCCTGAGCTACCATGAATCTGCTGGGTGGTGAATATTATAGTCAGCCTAGCATGCGCTCGAAATAATTTCCCAGGATTTACCATAGATGGCGGTGGTGTGAGTAAAAACTGTCATTTCACTTCACCTTCCAAAAAGAACTAATTTCTTCACCAACTCGCGCTCACCGCTGCATCGAATTGTGCTTTTGCTTCATTATTAATTTAAATAATTTTAAAAGTTTATAATCGCTAGTGTTTTGCAGCTATACACTATCACAAACATAGTAACACCTACAACATTACATACCACAATATTTATAAATTAATTCTGGTAATTGATAGTGAGTACGAGCTTTTCTGTAATAAATTTAACTCCTCTAATTTAAGATAGATATTAATATATTTACCCATGCAAGCAAGTATTTAACGGCCACAAGATGATATAATGTATCTCGTACCTGGTTTCATTATATTGAAATGCATAGGTTATTAATTTAAGCAATATTTATTATATAATTTTAATAGAAAACACTCACACTTGTAATATTTATGTCACTCACTCCAAGTAAACTAAGCTTACATTATTAGAAGTGGTTTACGACGATAAAGGAATGGCGGCTTCGAGCTAAGGACTTTGCGATCGGTAACCTTAACCACCAAAAACCAACCATTGTCAACTATCGCTTACAGGTAAGTAAGTGAAAGAAGAGACAGTACCCTCGCGCGTGATACTTACCCACGTGATACTTCTGGTAATCGCTACGGTATTCGGGTTCTTTCTAGCGTTGTCTAATTTGAATTAATGTTAAATTCTATACAAGTAAATTCAAGGACCGAAGGTCTATTAATTAAACTAACTTTCTCTGACTCATGAGTAATATGTGTTTACATATGACTAAAGGGTCAGAGAAAGTTAGTTTTTTCGATTATTTAACTATTGTGCCCATGTCATGGACAGGTAAATTGTTAAAAAATAATTACCTCATATGAATTAATTTACTGCTTTTTGGTGCAATCTTCAAATAAGATTGATTAATAATCGAATAGGAAAATAAACGACTATGAACATCACTAATTTGATTATGCAAATAAATAATTATATACCATAATTTGATATTTAACGCCATCAATCGATCGTCAGAATCCCGTCGGCCAATTAGTCAATTTAACG